GGGAGGTGTGGAGGAGAGATTAGGTACATGGAATAATTGCAAATCAGCGGGATAAGTTATACGATAAGGACCAAAACAGCACGGCGCAGCTGGTTCCTTCGGGACGCTCAGGAAAGAATCCATTTCCTTGCCTTTTCCAGCTTCTGGAAGCTTCTCACATTGCTTGGTTTGTGGCCCCATATCACTACGACCTCTGCTTCCTTTGTCACAACTCATCAGGCTCTCTTGCCTCCCTTTTTTCCTGTATAAGGATCCTGGTGTTACATTGGTCCATCCAGATAACCCAGGAAAATCTCATCAAAAAAAAATCCTTGGGGGTTTCCCCGGTGGCGCAGTAGTTGAGAGTCTGCCTGCCGATGCAGGGGACAGGGGTTCGTGCCCCGGTCCGGGAAGATCCCACATGCCGCGGAGCGGCTGGGCCCGTGAGCCATGGCCGCTGAGCCTGCGAGTCCGGAGCCTGTGCTCCGCAACAGGAGAGGCCACAACAGTGAGAGGCCCGCATACTGCAAAAAACAAAACAAAACAAAACAAAACAAAATCCTTAATGGGACTTCCCTGTTGGTCCAGTGGTTAAGATTCTGTGCTTCCACTGCAGGGGTCATGTGTTCGATCCCTGGTCAGGGAAGTAAGGTCCCGCATACTGTGTGGCACGGCCAAAAAAAAAAAAAAAATCCTTAACCACATCTGCAAAGTCCGTTTTGCCAGGTAAGGTAACACAGTCACAGGTGATTAGGATGTGAATATCTCTGGGGACCACTCTGCTGTCTACCAGAGATGGAGTTCTCCCTGGAGCAGCCAGACAACTCTTCAGAGAGAAGACTCTTGGAGGGGAATTTTATAGGGTTAGTTCTTATTTGCCAGAAGGGGAGAAAAGGTGGTACAAGCAAAGGACCAGTGCCTGCCGAGAGGCTAAATGTAGAAAGAGAAGGTGAGCCTGGAGATCTGTAAGCACCCGGCATGGTTGCATGGCTGGAGTACAGGAAGAGGGTACCTTCTAGAGATCATATGAGAGAGGAAAAGTAGAAGCCGGATCGTGAAGGTTTTTTGGTTTTTTTTTTAAACCAAATTGAGTCTGAAATGTACCTGAACTGCATTTACTTGGCCGATGCCATTACTTTAGACTGTGCTATTTTTTCTTTAAAACGTTCTTTAGGGACTTCCCTGGTGGTCCAGTGGGAAAGACTCCATGCTCCCAATGCAGGGGGCCCGGTTGGATCCCTGCTTGGGGAACTAGATCCCGCATGCATGCCACAAGTAATAAGAGTCCGCGTGCCTCAACTTAAAAAAGATCCTGCGTGCCGCAACTAAGACTGGGTGCAGCCCAAATAAATAAATAAACTTGGGAATTATCCTTAAAAATAAATAAATAAATAAAATAAAGCAAATATTCTAAAAAAAAAACAACTTTAAGTTGACTCACTTTTTGTCCTCAAGAATAATGCCCACAAAATCACAGGTTTTATATGTTAGTTATATCTTTCCAGTGTGTGTTAAAATGTGTATGTAACTATAAAATGTTCTTCCCTGTACCCCCTAACATCACGCACACCCATGAATGAGTACCATACTTTGAGAAATGGAGCCAGAGTCATGGAAACCACCTAAAGGTTTTGAGCAGGGAAAGAAAGAACATGATCAGGGTTGCCTTGGATCAATATCATTCCCGTAGCATTAATCACTTTGGACTGAACAGAGACCGGTGAAAATCACAGCAGAAAGCCCGTAAATTAGGAGACTTCCACAGTAGTTGAGGGGAGAGATGAGACATGAACAGAGACAGGGACTGTGGGAGGGGAGTGGAGGGTTTGGATGTGAACAATATCAAGGTGGTAGAACTGACGGGTAACAGTGAAGACTGGAAATGGAAAGGGAGGAGCTGGGGATGACTGCCAGGGTTCTAGCATGTGCAGCACAGCAGATACCGGTCCATCCACCAAGATGGCAAATAGAGGGGGAGCTGATGGGCGGGCGATGGGGGGGTAGGGTTGGAAGGAAAAGAATTGCTCTGGTCTGGAACATGCTCGATTTGAAGCGTCTGTGGAACACTCATGTAAGTACTTGAATGCCTGTGTCTGTGGCTCTGGGGACTGGGGCATCATAGAGGGCCGAGCTGTCCAGTAGAAATAGGCTGTGAGCAACCTATGTCATTTTAAATGGTCAGGTGGCCATATTAAAAAAAAAAAAAGTAATGAGATTAAATGATATATTTTATGTAACGCAACATATCCAAAATATTCTATTTCAAGATAAATCGATAGAAAAATCACAAAGATATTTTACATTCTTTTTTCATTTTAAGTATTCAAAATCCAGTGCATTTTTGACAGAGAGCACATCTCAGCTGGGACATTCCAGGCACTCAAAATGCACCACGGAGTGTTACCGTATTTATTGGACAGCACGGCTCTAGAAGCACTTGCTGCAGGCAGGCCAGGGTGATCAGATGTTTACCTGGGGGATAGTGGAGGCTGAAGACCCCGATCAGATACTGAGGGTGATCAGATTTGCTAAAACTGGATTTTACAAGGAAGTGCACAGATGGGTCTAGGAGAAGGTTCAGGAGCCAGACTGAAGTTTGGCCAAGCAAATCATCTTTGTCACAATTCCACCCATGACACCTGATCAATATAATCTTTGGAGTGGGGCTGGTAAATGCGTATTTTTAACAAGCCTCCACCAGGTAATGCAACCCAGGAGAACCATCTTTCAGTTGGAGCCAGTAGGACCTGAGAACTCAGGGGAGATGGTTCACAATAGGATGGGGCTCTGATGAGCCACCTGGGGAAGACTCACAGAAAGAAAAAAGCTGATGGGGGGAAGCACAGAGAGAGGCTTGTGTTTAGGGCAAAGGAAGGGAAGGATGAGAGCTCTGGTGGAGTATCTGTCCCCAACACTGTAGCCCGGCTCCAGGCTAATCAAGGCATCATGGCTTAGACCAGAGTCTACAAACTCCGCTCGGGAGAATCTGACTCAAGCTGTCCTGGAGCTGCCGGAGAGCTCCAACCTCAGGGCCTGGGGGAGGAAGGAGTGGGTTCTGAGGATGCTTGCCTCCCACACAAAGCAGGGATCAGCCTCTTGCTGGCCCAGACATTCAGTTTTGAAACTCTGCAGGGCTCTGTCCAAGGTCTCTTTCTTTTTCTTCCTCTGCTCTCACTCCTGGTTAATTTCACCCCTTTCCGGGGCTTCAAACTCCATTTATATGCTGATGGTGCCCACATTTGCATCTCAGACTCAGAGTCCACCCCTACTCCAAGGGCCAGCCCTAGTTTTACCAATTGCCTTCTGCTTAGAGTATCTGGCGGGCGCCTGAAATTTAACATTTCCAAAGCTGAACTAACCCTCAAACGTGTTTGCTTGCTAATAAGTTCCTGTTTCAACTAGTAGCCTCACTACTCACCCGGTTCCCCCCAAACTAGAAATCTGGGTGTCATCTTACACCTCTTCCGCCAACCATACACGGAATCACCTGAAATTCCTTCCTTTGTCTGTATTCCTGCAACTTCAGTTCGGATACCCTCGACCCCATGCTTGACTAGTACAATTCCCTCCTCATTAGAGATGTGGCCCCATTCTCCCTTCTGGGAGAGGGCATCCTCCCAAATGTGGTACAGCCTTCTTTTACAAGCTAAACTTGTAAAACCCAAATCTGACAAACTCTGCTGACTACGGCATAAACGGCAAACTCCTCGGCATGAAACATGCATCCTCACAGAGGGCCCTACTCACCTCTGTTGTCACCTTCTCTCAATCCCCAAAATCTTTTTTTCTAGTTGTGACATTTTTTTTGCTAAAAAATACACACAACATACCAAAATGCCCCAAACAACTCACAAAATCGATTTTAAAAGGGAGGAGATGAGGGGAGTTAAGATATCTGTGTCCTCCTTCCCTGATTCCGAAGGTCCGGAGTGTTGCCTGGAGATTGCCTGTACCTGCGTTTCCCCAGGTGATTCAGAGGCAAATCTAGGTTTGTCAACCAGTGGGTTATGCCACTCTGACAAAAGTCCAACACATCAAAGAATCTAGGCTACTATGTTCTTTCCTAACTTCCTGTAGGGCTGCAGAGAAAAGACAGAGAGGAGCCTGCATCAGCCTGGACTACATCCTAGACTGCATCACGATTGCATCCTCACCTAGATCAAAACCCTGGGGAATTGCCAAGCAGAAATTTTAAGAATGAAAAGGGCATCTGCGTAGCCTACAAACCTGACAACAGAACCTACAGCACCTTTTGGTTAAAAAACACTCCTGCCCCAAAATACATTTGGAAAACGTTGAACCACTCTAGAAAACTTTGATCAGCATCCCCTCCTCCACTTCTCGGTTTTAAGGGGAGCCCTAAAAGACGCCATAGGAAAGCACTTTGCTTTATTTTATTCAGCAGTGCCTTAGAAAGTTGAAAACCTGAAAAAAGTAATCTCAGAAGCTGAATCGCTCCTATGGGTGTCCATTCAAACACAAACAGTATTAGACTGCCATGTTTACTTGAACCCGTGGAGAGAAAACAATGTAACTGAGGAACCTTAAGCTTTGACTTTCTAGCAAGCACATGAAACGTTCAAGAAACTTTGCAGGACGTGTGCACGTTCACTAAGGCTCATATTAACTCCCGAGACAGGCTGAACAATAGAAGGGAGACTCGTTATTAAAGAAACGCGCCGTCTGTGTTTCGAAGTCCTTCATCGCAGCAGAGGGAGCCTTTCCTCTGCTCCGATCCGAATTTCAAATTGTTTCCACGCTCATTGTCTGCCGGTAGGAACAACGGCCGCGCTTGGGGCGCTTGGGGGAGCAGGTACAGCGTCCCGCAGAATGCAGTGCGGTTGAGCCCGGCCAGGTTTTGGGGCATTCCCGGCCCTTCCAGCGGATCAAGGAAAAGGAGGTGGCCCGGGCGCCAAAGGCTGCTGCCAATGCAACTCGCAACTTTTGAAATCAATCCTTTTTGCATCATGCAACGGATGCCACCTCTCCTCTGGCTTGCAACCCCCCACCCCTCCCCCGAGACCAATCATTGCCGCGCTCGGGCCTGCACATCGCCCCCGCCCCCTTGCCGGGCCGCACGCAGCTACCGAGCCGCTCTAGCCGCGGCCCGCCGCCTCTTAAAGGGAGGGAGCCGGCCCTTAAAGGACCCTCGCGCGCGGCGCACGGCGGCCCCGTTCCCGGCAGGGGCCCGCCGAGCCAGGCCGAGCCCCCGCGGCGCCCAGGCACGGCGCGGGGCCCTCCCGCCCTCCGCGCCGCCGCCGGGAGCAGCCTTTTTATTCAGGCGACGCTTAAGGGAGCCCGGCGGCGCCCGGTGCATTGTGGGAGCGGCGGAGTCCCGTTCGCGGGAGGAGGCGGAGGGCGCAAAGCGAACCGGTAAGCGCCTGGCTCGGGGAGGGGGGGGCGAGACACCAGGCTTAAAGGGGAATATTCGTCCGCAGGCCCAGGGCGGCCGTGCGGATCCCCTCGCGGGCCGCCTGGGCGCGCCGGGAGCCGTGCACGGTCGGCGCTCTGCAGCGCAGCCTGGAGAGGGGCCGAGCCAGGGCTTGGTGGGGCCGCTTTAAAAAAGAAGCACCGCCCGCGCCGCCGCCGCCGCCGCCGCCGCGCGGGGCCGAGGAAGGAGGGAGGGAGAAAAGGGCGGGGGAGGAGTGGAGGGGGAGGGCGGAGAGGTAGAGAAATATCTGTAGTATATTTAGCTTTCTAGGGCCTTGCCATTTAGTAAAGTAGTTAAACTAAATTAGGGTTTAAGTTAACTCAGTGACTCCAGTTATGATAGCAGGTAATATTCACTTACCAGTGATGATAGAGACAGACTAGTCCTGTGTCCACAGTGTTCATAGAATGACCTTGAACATGCTTATGGATCTTAACTCATGTGACTTTCTCTTTCCTGACCATATGTAGTTTGTTGTTTCATCAAAATTAAAAGCATATTACCTTAGGGATTTCCCTGGTGGTGCAGTGGTGTTCCCGCCGCTGCCGCCGGGACAGAGAGCGGGCGGGCCGGCATGGCCCCGCTGGCCGCCCCGCTCCGCCTCCACCGGGCCGCGCCGCACAAAGAGCCTGGGCCCAGGTGGCCTTTAAAGGCGGCAGCCGGGGATTTAAGGTGTCCCAGAGCGCTGCCCTGCGCGCACCGGCTGCCGCCCCGACGTGTGCTTCCCGGGGGGTGCGCCGCCCCTGCGCCCACGTCGCCGCGTCCCCTCCGTTTTTTATTTCCTAGGCTTGGGAACCTGGGGGGAGGTAGGTACCGGGCCGGGGCTGCCCCCTCTCCCGCCCCCACTTACCGTGCTCCCTCGGCTCTGCGGCCAGCTTGGCGCCCTCGTTTGAAAAATTTAAAACGTGGCCGAGAAGGAAAGGGTTAACCGTTGTTTTTAAATATTCATGTCATTGTTTAAAGGTGTAAACAGGCGGCTTCGGGGTTGAAGTCGTCTGCGTGTTATGCCAGCCCCCCACCATTAATTACGCCTTTCCTCACGTCCCCCTCCACCCCCCCATTTTCTCATCCGGTCCAAAAAATGTAAGAATTTATTTTTTTTTAGGATTCGGATGCGATGTGTGTGATTTACGTGCCTCGTTCCATTTGGAATTTTAAAACTCCTGAGTGCCTTTTGGGCTTAAGGTGTTTTAAACTTTTTGCCCTTAAAAACCTAGGAAGATTTAAAAGGAAGTTAGCCCCCTGAATTCCAAGTGCCCCTCCCCGCCTTTTTTTTTTTTTTTTTTTTTGGATAGGGATTGGAGGTAGGAAAATAACTGGATGCCTCGTGAGTTGGATTTTTTTTTTTTCCCCCTGGTAGGAGTGAGGCGGTGTTAAGTGCGAGGCATTTGGTGAGGAAAGGACTGTTGTTTTTGTTCCAAACCCTTCCAAGTCAAACTGCTATTGGACTTTTCCTAACTCTAAAATGGCTTCAAAATTCCCAGCTCCATAACTTAGCTCTCCTGGCGCCCTCCTTTCGGACAGGTGGTTTTCTTGGAATGTTGGAAGGTTTACTCCTTTACGGTTGTAGGTTTCAAACGGAAATCATTGCTCACCCCAAACATGGTTTTGTAAAGACAGTTTGGATTACTGCCCAAACTCAGGCTCTAGGAGATCTATTTTAAATGAGTGGTGGGCTTCGCAGGGGATCGAAAACTCTATAAATGGGAATTATGTTAATGATAAATTTTATAGGGGAAACTGACCCTAAAACTTGGGGTGTCTAATTCCATGCCCAGTAAAGTATCAGTCTGGAAGTTTTGTAAACCCCGGCAGCACATGGAAGGTTTTCGTTTAGACCCAAAGGCTTCAAGCTTAGAAAAGTTTGTTCCAGAAACTTCCAGTGATACCGAGTACCATAAATGCTAGTGATTTAGTACAGTTTATCACTTTAGGTCTGCAATGAAACAGTAATGAGCAGTAGCATATTTTATCAATGATGTGTGTGTGTACTAGTTTGTTGGGCGAGGTGTTTGCTTTCTAGGAAATAGCACTGAATTAAAACATCAGAAAACTTTCCACTGCTCTGTTGTAGAAAATGAGCTTTGCTGTGTTAAACAGCCATTCCAGTTTTCAAGTTGTGTTCTTTAGAGAGGCTTCCTGTTAGTTTTGGATCATGTCGTGTACTGCTGGCTCAGAGTGAAAACCTGTTTTTCTAAAATTGAACTTAGCATCGTAAAGAATTTCATCAAATGCATATCCACCGATGTCCTTTTCACCAAAAGTATCTGTTAGGCATATTAGTTTTCTTTGTGAGATAGCAAAAGATGGTAAAAGGTCTTCCTGAAAAGTCACTTTAGCCACAGGGCATTTAATTTCTAAACCATAGTACTTCCTGGTTGATGGGTGAAGTGACTAGTTTTCCTGTAATGCTGCCGGCTAGAAGAACGTTTGGGACTTTTTACTCAAGATGGCACTGTGTCCTGTAAGTCAGCTGGCCCATAGTTCCATCTTCCTTGCAGCCCCTCAGAGCCACCATTATAACAACACAGACATCAGATCTCCTTCCATAGAATATGTCTCTAATGGTACAGTCACCTTTTAAAATGACTTCTAGCTTATGCATCACTGTGACAAACTATTGTGGTCCCAGATGGCTGTTTGCCTGTGGTCTTGGTGATTGCAGCCCTTTTCATGTTTACTTTTCACTGTCATGTATTCACTCACTAGATTCTTGGTGGGTACTGGTAAGAAGAACTCTTTAATGGTGTCTTTGTGTTTCGGTGCTACCCAGGTGGATCTGTAAAGAAACCAGCCGTGTAGGAGAGGGAGGGGAGGAACCCAGCGGTGAGGTGTGTGCGCCTGAGAACCATGTCTGCGCGGGAGTCCTTTAACCCGGAAAGTTATGAATTGGACAAGAGCTTCCGGTTAACCAGATTCACTGAACTGAAGGGCACCGGCTGCAAAGTGCCCCAAGATGTCCTGCAGAAATTGCTGGAATCCTTACAGGAGAACCACTTCCAAGAAGATGAGCAGTTTCTTGGAGCAGTTATGCCAAGGCTTGGTATGTGAACTGCTGTTTCTTTCATATTTCCCTGAGTAGAGCATCTTGGCTGCAATGTAGTCAGTGAGTCAAAAAACTAGATTTCTCCTCCCATGTTGCCTTTTTTTTTTTAAGTTTCTGCAATAAGGATTCAAAGAGCAAAAGCAATGGTAACTGTTACCTTATTGTAACTTATTTGGAGGAACGACTTGAAAAACATGAAGAAATGTGCTCTAACCATTTTGAAACTGTTACTATGCGATTGGGACAATTGTATTACAGTAAAAGCATTTTTTATTAAATCAGAGTAGGAAAGGTGTCGTGCAGGACACCTTTAGAGAGCAATGCCTGGGTTGGGGGGAACTCTGGGTTCCTGTGCAGCAGGCATTGTTTGAAAAGCTCTCATGGGGAGGAGGGAGACACAGCAGGCGAGAACACTGGACGGGGTCTGGACCCCAGGATGGCATCTGGACTTGAGATCCGTGTTTCCTTGACCCAGTTCCTGCTGTCATTAGTGGTTTGCCTTTTCTCCAACACAGAGCTCAGAAAGAAATTCTAGGGTACTGGGATGCTGTTTGTTAGCTTCTCTTGTGTGCTTTGTTAAGTACATGATGCAAGACTGTGATCACTTTGCCTTTTGAGTGTTTGACATGTATTCTAGGAGTTTGTGGGTGTTTTATAGTTATGGTATATGAGTTGATCAGCTTTCTTACATAAGGTTTCAACTGCATTTCTTTTATGGTCACATTCTGTCTTACAACATTGGTTTTGAACCTTTCTTTCCTGATGTATAAAGCAGATAAACGCAGAGTTGCTTTGGGTGGGAGAGGAGAATTCACACCCTGCACTCTCGGGGCCTGTAGGGCTTGCAGGAGCACAGTTAGAAAATCGTCCTCATCTAGCTGATGTCTCAGCGTGGAGAAATACCACATGAATGAGGTGGAGTGGATGTCAGCTTGCTTGTCAACAAATGAGAATATACTGAGAAAGCTCTTAGATAACTTTGTCGGGATACCGAATGGGCAAAGACAAATGCCATGGATAAAGTAATCATTCCCCTCTGTAACCACCCCCGTTGACTTATTGAGCACTCCCTTGGTGGGGGTCAGGAACTGGCATCCACATCTTCCAATTCCTCCGCCCACCATACTGCTTATCATCTGGTTTTTAAGTCCGGACATGTTCATGGGGAGAGGAGCTGTGTCAGCTGTAACTCAGCAGTGGCAAAAGGGGACAGATGTCGACAGCAAGGGTCCAGGCAGGAGAAAGAGAAATAAATGTTACTCTGTGCAAGTTCGTAACCCTCCTGAACCTCAGTTTTCCCATCTGTAAAATGGGGTAATAATACTCACTGTTTGCAACTGTTGTGAGTACCAGAAATTATCCGTGTATGTATGTATATGCACCATGTGCATCTGTACCCATGTACATAATACTTGTGTATGTATGTATATATGTATGTTTATATAACGTATACACACAAGTCTGTTGACCTGTATTTTAAATTTTTTTTCTAAAAGAGTGTCATATTTCCTGGATTCTAAGGATGAACCGTAACAGTTATTAAATACACACTTTTATTAAATGTATTCTAACTAAAGAAATGTTAAGTGTGTCTTAGTATTTGGTACCTCTATTGCCTGATGCTTAAGAGCTGCCATGTGTTGATGGCTGCTGGCAGTGGGGGTAGAGTGATGATTTGGTGTTTCTTTGGTTTTTTTTTGATGGATAGTTTCAGTCTTGCTGAAACCTAGAATTCCCCGTCACCGCCCACTGATGGTTACATACACCCTGCTCCGTCTGGTATTTGAGGCTCCCTTTACTCTGGCATTTACCTGCCCTCTGCCTGTACTGTCCCTCTCTCTCTCAACTTGATACCCTCGTTTGCAAGGCCCATGGCCTGTCCCATTCTCACCCTCTCTCTCTTCCTTTCTTGAAATTTGGTAGGTGATTTGTAGACCAGTCACTACAGACCAGCGCTGTCCCAAAGAAAGATGAGGTGAGCCACCTGTGTCATTTAAAATTTTCTAGTACAGATAGTTCATTAAAAAAAAAAAAAAGAATCAGGGGAATTGAATTCTAATATATTTTATTTAACCCAGTATATAAAAACTATAATTTCAACACATAATTAATATAAAACATTGCTAACAAGATGTTGGTTTTTCTCGGTACTGTTTAAAATCGAGTGTGTGCACTTGCAGCGCATGTCACTTTGGAATTGCCCCATCTCACATGCTCGGTAACCGCATGTGGCTGGTGGTTCCCATGTGGACAGCCCTTGACCCTCCTAACACAGAGTGGTGTCCTGGTGGAGAGAGAGGACTTGTAGGTGATGGAAGCTTCTTGTCAGCCCCAGGAGCGTGCTGGGGAGTCATGGTTCACACGCTCTGATGCTGGGTATCAAGAGAAATTAACTGCTTTACAAATCAAAAAGACTGAATTCCAGTTTAAGATTCCCACATTACAAAACATTTAAAGCTAACTTTCAGCAATGCTTTTTAGTGTCTCTTTCAATAGTCCTATAGTTTATATGAAAATCTAAAAGAAAACAGTATTTCCTCCCTCTTTTCCAAAGTGAACGGTAATAGACTTGGAACACCCAGTTGTTGGAATGATCAGTTTGGGGGAGCAGAGTCAGTGTGAGTTTAATTGTGGCTCTTGCCCTATTTCCTCTTGAGCGCTAGAGAGCCCCGCTAGAGGGCGCTTCTGCATACATGCTTCGCTGAGATGAATTATCACACGCTTTCTGATCACTGGTAATGAGCGTTCCATTGTTACAAATTTGTGGGGCTTGCCATTCTGAAGCAAAGTCCTCCATTCCCTAACTGGATCTTCCACCAAGAGTTTCTGCTTTGCCATCTAGTGTAGTAATAAAAAATCAGCCTGTCTTCACACAGTGACCTTTCACTAAACTTGATTTTATTTTAGTGTTAGTAAGAATGGATCAGGACTTGACATGGTACTGGGGTAGTTGTGAAAGAAAGCCACACGTGGTCCTCTCTGTGTGACTTGGGTGTGACTTATTCCGTTTGAAATTCTGAATCGAGAAGGTAAACATCTACCTGCTTCCTTTCATACTTCATGGGATTTGTCCTTTGCTTTTGGCCATTGGGCTGCAAGGTCGAAACACTTCCTGAGGGCCAGAGGGCATCCTCTTGAGAGAGGTGAGTGTAGGAAAGCACTCCATTAGGCTTACCTGGTGAGAGGCCAGTCTGAATTTGAAGTGTTTGCATTACAGGTGATTTTTTTTTTTAAATGTAGCTTGCAGTAGCTAGTCTTGACTGTTTCTAAACTGATTTCAGGAAAAGGGAACTGTTTCTAATTAGCCCATCAGTTGTCTGTGTTTTCTAAATGTTTAGAAACAATTTTTAATAAGTTGAAATATATCCCATAGGCTTGTTAAGCAAATTTTTCTTTCCCTGCTCATTAAGTTAGTAGAGGTGACATAAGTTTCTCATGAGTGGAATGCATGGAATTTTAAAGTTTCTTGGGAGTGTTTATGTACATGCTTGATTGGAATCAATGAATACTTGTTCTAGCATTGTCCTTTTCTTTCTTTCTTCTTTCCTTCCTTCCTTCCTTTCTCTCTTTCTCTTTCTTTCTCCCTTCCTTCCTTCCTTTCTTATTTTTGTCATTTTTGACTAAAATGTAGTATAATAGTATTTTTAAAATTTATTTATTTATTTATTTATTTATTTTTGGCTGCGTTGGGTCTTTGTTGCTGCGCACAGGCTTTCTCTAGTTGCGGCGAGCGGGGGCTGCTCCTCGTTGCGGTGTGTGGGTTTCTCATTGCAGTGGCTTCTCTTGTTGCGGAGCACGGGCTCTAGGCGCGCAGGCTTCAGTAGTTGTGGCATGTGGGCTCAGTAGTTGTGGCTCACGGGCTCTAGAGCACAGGCTCAGTAGTTGTTGCCCACAGACTTAGTTGTTCTGCGGCATGTGGGATCTTCCCGGAGCAGGGCTCGAACCCGTGTCCCCTGCATTGGTGGGCGGATTCTTAACCACTGCACCACCAGGGAAGCCCTATAATAGCATTTTATATGTGTAAAATATTTTACAGATTTTCTGTTGGAAAAACAGAATCATGCCCAAAGATATACTCTTAAGTAACTATGGAGAAGACAGCCCAAGTTCCATTTGTGCTGTTCTCATCTTTACAGAAATTCTGTATGGTGCCAGTCACATGATACAGTAACACAAAGGAAAATTTCTGTTCAAGGCATCATTAAAGTCTAAAAATTGTACCATGTTGAAGTTGAGTCTTCATGACTAACAAATTGTGTTCTCATTTTCTATCTTAAGCTAGTTTTGTTTCATGTCTATTTCAGTTATGCTTCTTGATAGGAAACACATTGCTTTGTTGGCGGTGAGCAGTGTTCCATAAGTGTCTTATGCAAAACCCCTCCTATTCAGAACACTGCAGGTACAAAATGACATGGCTCTTCCTGTTGACTTTTGGATGATGATGACCCCCATCTTTGCAGGCATCGGGATGGATACCTGTGTCATTCCTTTGAGGCATGGCGGTCTTTCCTTGGTTCAAACCACAGATTACATTTATCCCATCGTCGATGACCCTTACATGATGGTAAGTTTAACCGACATGTTTTTACATCTGGAACTGCTTACTCTTTTGGTTTTGGGTGGTGGCTGGGGTTTTGTTATTCTTGTGTGGGTTTTTTTGTTTTCGTTCTACACAAATTGCTCTCATCCTACCCCTGCCCTGACTCCTGTGGTTGTAGATCTGATCTGGTCGATCCCTTGCTCACACTTGGCACCGTGCATGAGGCAGGCAGTTAAGGTGGATGGGGGGGCGTCCCCTGCTGCTTGCGTACCTGCCTGTGTGTCTGTGCCAGAACACCTGTGGTCTGTTAAGCGTATCTGTTGACTGGTGTGTTTATAGTTTTCTTCTTTATTTCCTTGTACTTTTCTTTCTGGGACATTTGTAAACGCCACATTCCTGTGTTTCACCGTCCTCTGTAATAGGACTGATCCTAGATGTCTCTGTCCAGAAAGAGCTTAGCATCTCATCACCATTAAACCTGACCGTTGATCCTGATTCTGGTCATTCCCCTCCCCGTGTCTTATTCCACTGTGTGGCATGTGCATCCGCCTGCTGATCACGCTCTGCCCCGACACCCCGTCCTGCTCATCGCAGGGTTGCTGCCAGCAGCACCCCCTTCTTCCCAGCTGGACCCTCCACCCTGGCAGCTGGGAGGAGCCAATGAAGAGATTGGCAATGTCCTATCATTAGAAAGTGCCGGAGGCCCTTCTTTGTGCCAGGGGCATGGGGATCGAGCCCCACACGTAGGGACTGAGGCCTGGAGGTCTGAAGGTGGGGGGGGGAGTGCTCACGTCTTTGGGTACCCGCGACAAGCACGCACACTCCCAGAAACCTGTTTCTTGCCTCTCCTCTGGCGCAGCGGTCCTGAGAGCCTGTGCACGCCACTCCCCCGGTGTCCCACCTGTCCGGGGGCCCAGGGGGCTAGAACTGGAGTTCATCCTTTGCCAGCATCTCGTAGAAGGACCTGAGCGCCCACGCAGAAGGGGCAGCAGGTCGCTGCAGCCCGAGCCTGTGGTTGGCGCCTCCCAGCTGCTGACCACGCTGCGCCTGTTACCTCGAGTGAGTCACAGGAGGTGGTCAGGCTCCCTGCCAACCTGCCAGGAGGTCGTGAGACAACATAAATGGGCAATGAAACGGCCACTGGAAGTGATAGTAACTTGTGGCTTGATTACGCTTATGTCAGAAAGAAAAATTGGTCGTTTTCTCCTTTACTGCCTAGAGAAAGGCAACTTTAGAAATTTTTTTAAATGTCTGTTGGCGGTAGAGAATCTTTATTACCACATTTCTGTTGAGTGCTGTTCAGAGTTCCTTAATAAAACCTTATAGTCTACTGGGAAATGCTTCCCTTTGTCTTTAGAAAACAATCTGATTTCAGGCCTAGGTGTTGTTTATTTCTTCTTTTTGTTTCTCAACCAAGATGATTTTCCTGTTTATCTCGTACAAGAAGCTCCCCAGATTTCTCTGTCTATGTATATAAAACCCATCTTCTCTATAACCAATAAAGGTGACATTTTTAAGGATCTGCTCGGGAGAAGCGGCAGCCCCACGTCTTTTTTAGCACAGTTGTTTCCCAGCACTTGCACTCCGGCTGCTCTGAAACCAAGCACTCCAAGCTTTTCCCCGACATCTCCCTGCTCCGTTCCACACCCAAATAAATTGCAGACTTCTCCCTAAAGTTTAGAACGGGAAAGAACCTGGAGACCATGGGTGCTGCACGAGAAAGGAGAGGTGGTAACGGGAATGCCCGAGAGTGGTTCTGTGATGGAAGAAAGGCGGTGAGTCTGTGAAGCACAGAGCCGGGGACCACGTCCTGGCAAGTCCCCCGTGGCGCCTGCTCACGTCTCCCCTCTCTTCCAGGGCAGGATAGCCTGTGCCAACGTCCTCAGCGACCTCTACGCCATGGGGGTCACAGAATGCGACAACATGCTGATGCTCCTTGGAATCAGCAACAAGATGACCGACAGGGTAAGCAGGAGGCGGTCCGGCTGCATCCTCGGCCCCGGTTGTGGTCCTGTCACTTGTCTGGTTGGCCCTCCTTCCCCGCCGTGAAGTCAGGCTGTCCACGTCCCACCCGCCCTCTGCTTTTTGGCAGTTAGCAGCGAATTAGAATAGGCTGGCCTCTTCGTGTCTCCATCCCCACCCGCTGCTTCCGCTTCTCTCTCCTGGGCGAACTGAAGCCAGCACGTTTGTGTGTGTGTGTTGTGGTGATGTTTAGGCCACAGTAACAGCACCTCCGGGCTGGGCACCCGCCTCTTCGGTCGCGGTTGGCTGGTGACATGGACGGCGGTGGGGCTGGGGTGCCCTGTGCTCACCTGCTAGCATCTGTGGCCTCGCTGCCCACCCCCCTCTTTGGCCCAGAGGTGAACTCCTGTTTAGATTATTTTTGACAGGTAATTGGTTTCGTCCCCGCCAGAAGTTTGCCCTGTGCATAGGACTGAGCATTCAGCAGGCCCTTCTCTGCCCTCACAGTGTGCTCTCCGGCCACTGCTTGTACACAGACACCCGGAGCGGGCGCGTGGGCACGCGTTAGCTGGTCACGGGATGGTTAAGGACCGTTCAGAGAGCTGGCTCAGGTACAGGGCAGCCCTGTGCACCCAGCCTGTTCCGGTGTTTACTCCTCTGTCGTCTGGGCTACATTCGCGTTGTGACCTAGAGCCTCTTCCAACTTTTGATAAAAGGGCTACCATGTGAACTGTTCCCTGCCCCTTCTGTAAACTCTCAGGGCTTCCTGTAAGGGTTTTATGATCTTTTTATAACTACAGGGGTAGACTCTCATTTCTGGGTTTTGAACTGAATGATGTGACTTTTAATTTGTGTCCTTTTAAACCGTAGGAAAGGGATAAAGTGATGCCCCTAATTATACAGGGTTTTAAAGATGCAGCAGAGGAGGCCGGAACATCTGTAACCGGCGGCCAAACAGTGCTAAATCCCTGGATTGTTTTAGGAGGTGTGGCTACAACTGTCTGCCAGCCCAACGAATTTATCATGTAAGTTGATTTTGGTTTCATGTCCCCTGGCCAGGTTCTCTCCTCTCTCTCTCTCTCTCTTTTCTTTAAAAATATATTTATTGAGATACTAATTCACATACCATACAGTTCGTTTACTTAAAGTGTTTATAAATTCAGTGGTCTTTGGTATAGTCACAGGATTTTGCAACCCTCACTAGAGTCGACTTCACGACACTTTTATAGCCCCAGCGAGAAACTCCATCCACCCCCTCGGCTGTCACACCCCACCACCAGCCCGTTTCCATCCCGGCTTCTTTCACTTCACAGAATATTTGCATAATCTTTTTAAGGTGCATCCATTTTGCAGCATGTATCAGTACCTCATCCCTGTTTATAAAAAGGTTTTAGATTTTTTTTACCGAAGTATAATTCATATAACAAAATTTCACATAACATGAAATTTAGCTTTTTAAAGTACGCAATTCATTGGTTTTTAGTACTCAGGAAGTTACGCAACCATCGCCACTATCCAATTCCAGAACATTTCCGTCTCCCCAAGAAGGAAACCTTGTATCCACAGCAGCCACTCCCAACTCCCTCCTCCCCCATCCCCTGGAAGCCACAGATCTACTTTCTGTCTCATGGATTTGCCTGTTTTAGACATTTCATACAAATGGAATCATGCGACACGTGATGTTTTCTGTCTGGCTTCTTTCACTTAGTGTGTTTTTAGGGTTCATCCATGTTGCACGTGTGTCACTACTTCATTCCTTTTTATGGGTGAGTAACATGCCATTGTATAGACAGACCACAGTTTATTCATCCAGTCGTAGGTCGTGGACCTTTGAGTCATTTCCACCTGTGGTGCGTGATGCTGCTGTAAACATTCGTGTGCAAGTTTTTTTGTGTGGATATACATTCCAATTCCCTGGGGTAGATACCTAAGAATTACTGGGTCATGTGGTAACTATTTAACTTGAGGAATAGACTGAGGCAGCTGTACCGTTTTACCTGCCCACAGCCACGGATGGGACCCTGATGTCTCCACATCCTCTCACCAGGACTTGTTTTACTGTCTTTTTGGTAATAGCTGTCTCAGTGGGTATGAGGTGATATCTCACTGGGTTTTGATTTGCATTTCCCTGGTGGCCTGTTCTGTGAGCATCTTTTCTTGTGCCCTCTGGCTATTTCTAGATCCTTGGAGAAGTTTCTGTCTTAACAGAAGTTGGCCCTTTTCGTGTTTGATGTCTTATTAAGAAAAGCCACCTTGTCCTATTCTCAGAGGAAGCAAAAGCTCTGTTTGTTTTATCTGATTTTGTGAGCAGGCACTGTGTTCAGAACTCCAGGGGTGTGAAAGGCCCTGCGGTGCAGAATCCCTCACCTGCCCTCAGTCATTAGTGTCCCTTCTTGAGGCAAACACTTTGACCAGTCTTGGGTATTTTTAAACAAGTAACTCTTGACATTCAGATTATCTTCAGTTATGTTGACATTACACATAGTACTCCAATGCGTAGATCATCTTGCAGGTGTGACTCTTGGTAAGAAATTTTTCAGAATGGAATTGCTGGGTCCATTGCCTGTGCACCATAATTCTGATCGATGTCTTCAGTTTGCCCTTCATAGAGGCTCCACCAGCAATGGGTGAGAGTGCTGGGTTGCCCTGTCCTAACTAGCACAGCCTGGTGACAGCCTCCTTGGTCTTTGCCTTACTCCTGAGAGTAAGGGTGAGTGTAATTTTCATGTATTCATGTCTTTGGTCCATTTTCTGACTGATGGGTGCGTCCATGTTAAGGGTCTTGCCTTTTACCTACATCCAGGTTTTATTTTCCTATGTTTTACGTTGGTAGTTCTCAAACTTTCCACTTAGGTGGGACAAGAGAACTTGCACCTGTCTCACCCATTCCAGCTTTCCCATAGAAAAGGAACCCAGCTGTAGCCAAAAAACGAGAGAGGAAAAAACAATAAAACAGGCTTCAATGAATTTTTTGTCAACAACATGTATGCTTACTTTGTAAAATAAGAATGCGCCTATGCAGGTGATTATATTTTGTAAAAGACTGCCCACAAACTTAAAAATAACCCAACAATTTTATCATACTTCCCTTGCTGATACAAATTTGTAAGTTGCACATAACCAGTGACGCACAAGAGCACATCAGCTCTCAGGTACAGTTGAGTCAGAATTGAAAGGCATTTATGTCTTAAGGTCCCGTTTTTGGAAAATGAGTTTCTGGTATATCCTCCCAGAATTAATAGTTTTCAAAGCTAACAATGGATATAGATATTACAGGATGAGTCGAGGAGCTAGTTGTTGATTTTTAAGTCTGTGCCCCTGGCTTTTTAATCGACTTGTATGAGTATTTGAGTTGTTCGCTGTCAGGGGACGGGATGGCTATGTGGACAGCTCCCTGAACTTGGACAAGACCGACATGAGTGCTAGACCCATGTCCTGGTCGTGAGGATACAAGTGAGATGGGAGTTTTGTCTGATGGGGGACAGTCTTTCTGCTTTTAGGGCTGCCTTTTTTTAGTATTTGCCTTTTGTCTTTAAGACAGGGACCAACCAGGGACCCTGTGTACCAAGTAGGAAACTTATTGGTCATAACTCTGAGTTTGAAACATTGATGCTGCAATCACCAAAACATTAGACCCACAGATTCTAGCCAAATCCTACATCCTGAGAAATCCCACCTGCATCTCTATCATATAAGTGATTGTAAAAAAAAGAAAGAGAGAGGGAAAGAAAGAGAGAGAGAGAGAGAGAAAGGAAGGAAGGAAAGGGAGGGAGGAAGGAAGGGAAGAAAGAAAAAGAACAATAGTTTTTGTTCCAGAAGTCTTGTTGCCTCAGAACCCTGGTGGGTCTGTGTTGAAAAGTACACAAGAGGGCTTCCCTGGTGGCGCAGTGGCTGAGAGTCCGCCTGCTGATGCAGGGGACGCGGGTTCGTGCCCCGGTCCGGGAGGATCCCACATGCCGTGGAGCGGCTGGGCCTGTGAGCCATGGCTGCTGAGCCTGCACGTCCGGAGCCTGTGCTCCGCAACTGGAGAGGCCACAGCAGTGAGAGGACCGCGTACCGCAAAAAAAAAAGAAAGAAAAGTACACAAGAGCATGGCTGAATCAGGGCCTGATGAGGCCTTTGAAGACTAAGCGCGTCCGGAGCTGTGCTCCGCAACTGGAGAGGCCACCGCAGTGAGAGGACCGCGTACCGCAAAAAAAAAAGAAAGAAAAGTACACAAGAGCATGGCTGAATCAGGGCCTGATGAGGCCTTTGAAGACTAAGCGATTTGCTTTTTTGGGAAACTGATAAGTCACTGGCCTAAGTGTTGTCGAAGTCCGCGGCCTCCTCACTTTTCAGTTAATGTTTTGTTTGTCAGTCATCCTAGTAGTAAACGGCAGAGCTCTAATACATGGCATTAGTTGGCTTAAATATAAGTAATTGTTTGCAAACACACATGTGGTTTTACTGGCCTTTTCTTTCTCCTGTTTAACTGACAATGATGAACTTATCTCCTCGGTTGATTTGACAAGGACCTGCCTGTGCTCTCTTCTTCAGGCCAGATAACGCAGTGCCAGGCGATGTGCTCGTGTTGACCAAGCCCTTGGGGACGCAGGTGGCTGTGGCCGTGCACCAGTGGCTGGACATTGTGAGTGACGTTCACCTTCCGGTGTCAGCAGTGTGGTTTTTAAAATAAGCTCTTCTAGTTTTAGTACCAGGGAGTGTGCTGTCCATCCAGACCTTCAGAAATCCTGGGAATTGTCCCTATTCTTTTATTAGATCCAGTTTTTATGTATTGAATGCTTGAAGTAGGGAATCCCCTGCTCGGGGTTCAGAGATAATCCATAACGCGAATTTGGGGGACAGTGAGTGCGGTTTATCTGTTCATTTGGTGCTGAGATGGGTGTGTCTTTCATACTTAAACATCACTAAAAAATAATACAGAGGAGGCAGTTCCCTGGCGGTCCAGTGGTTAGGACTCTGCACTTTCACTGCCGAGGGCCCAGGTTCAATCCCTGGTCGGGAACTAAGATCCCGCGAGCCACGCAATGGGGCCAAAATAATAATAATACAGAGGAGAATGTGTGCAAGGTTTGATATTTGAGGTTTAAGGTGAGGCTTATTGACAGTTTAAATTATTTTAGTCATGAGTTTTTTGGTCATTTCTGATTGCTTGTTTTGTCTTTTTAAGCTAATTAGTAACTCAGAACATTTTGATAAACAATTATGTTGTGGAGAAAGCATCTAGAATATGAAGATATTTATCCTGAGTCACTTTTCAAGTGAGCTATGATCAGTTGTTCTTCATTTAAGACTTTTCATTGCCATAACAACTCAAAAATTAATATGATTGTGGTATATTCTCACATATCTCAATGCTTTTAATTTCTACAACTGTCATCTGAAACCATCAGTCCTGAGAAACAATTGAAAAAGAACAATTTTATGTTACTCGTCAACCAGGTATATCTTAGCTTGACAAACAGAGCAGAGAAAATCTCTTAAGGAGGCCGCATTCTTTAGTTATTTTTCCCTTCTCATCCAGTGAGGATGGGGAGATTTCCCATCAGGTGTGATCACCTGTGAGTCAGACCACAGGGCTTTTATAGGGCAGTAATCCAGAGGTGCTTTCCAATGTGACTGCCCAGGTGAGGCAGAGGGGGTCCAGGAGGAGGGACTCTGGGATCCTTCTGTTTGTCCCACCCCCAACTTGACACTGCCTTTGCTTTTTTTTAACCAGTTTCTTAAAGATGCTCAGAATTGAAAAAAGCAAGTTTCAAAGACAAAGTAACAGCACAATACCCTTTCATAAAGGTTGGAAGCAACCCAAGAGTATTGTTTGGGCATCTATACATACGAGGATACTATTTTTTGAAACGCAGGGAAATGACAAGTGTAAAATTCAGAATCAATGTTACCTCTGGGGGAGAGATGGGGGCAGGGGGATAAGGGAGGGACGCAGACATAGACTTAAGTTACTTGTTGGGCAGTAGATGTTGGGTATTACCAAGAAAGGAACAAACGCACGAACACTGGCTATTAAAATGGACTGTGATGACTGTGTGTCATGAACTCAGCATCGTGATGCCAGATCCTTTGAAAATCAGAGGAAGAGGGAAGATGGCAGTCTTTCAGAGGATGTGCTTTGTGGTCACCCATGCCGTCCTCATAGCTGATAACAGTTCAAGTTGTTTCCCATTCATTTGTCCCTCAAGAGGACTTGATCCCAGAATTCAGGGAAAGTCAGTAAGAGTATAAATTACATGAAAAATGAAAGCCATCCGCTTACTAGGGGAGATGGAGAAGAGAACCCAAGGACATTCAGAACTGTCTTGCTGGTTTCAAGTTTCCAGTACGCTGCAGTGTTTGACTACAGAGGTGTGGCTGAGGACAGAGAAGATGCCAGATGATATATCTAACGGCCACCTAAAGCAGTAGTCACGGGGGGAAGAGTTAGAAAACTTAATATTGTGTGCAGAATTAGGGAAGCAGAACTCCCCAGAAGATGGCTAAGGAAAAAATACGCTTTCAGTGGTTAGAAGCAAAGACTGATCACGTTTTTCTCTCTTTGCTCCCTCACCTGTGTTCCTGTCATTAGCCTGAGAAATGGAATAAAATCAAGCTGGTGGTCACCCAGGAGGATGTGGAGCTGGCGTACCAGGAGGCGATGATGAACATGGCCAGGCTCAACAGGACAGGTGCGGCCAGGGCTCGCCTCGCAGGGGTTGGCCAGCTTTCTGAGCAGGGCTGGGACGGAAGACACTTAAGGCTTTGTGGGCCACAGACAGTCTCAGTTGCATTGATTTTCTTTTCCCCCCATGACTCTTTTAACACGTTTTTTTTTAAAAAAAAAAAACAGAAAACAAAAAACCAGAATACATTCTTAGCTGGAGGAACTGGCCATGGGCCAGGTTGGGCCAGTGATTGCAGAGCCCCCTCTGTCAGTGCCTGGAGCACCGGTGGGACTCCAGCTATGTTGCATGTTCTTGACAGAAGCGTGGGGTAAATGTGACTCACCTTAGAGGAAGTAAACGGCTGGCCACTGGCCTGAACTGTGCGCTAGGTCAGGTGGTGAGGCCATGAGCGTTTGTCCCCAGCCACTCCTCTCTGAGCTGTGTGTCTGGAGTTCTCCAGGGCACTGCGCCTGTGCCAGCATCTGTCCCCCCTCTGGCTTAGAATCGCTCACTGTGGGGACAGTGCCAGGCACCGGGGAGAAGCAGAGCAGTATGGATGAGGTCATCAGTTCACTTTATGAATCTGTGAAATGGAGAGCTGAGGTCACATTTTCTCTCTGTTGCTTCAAATTCTACATTCCTGTGATTATGGGCAGCATTGAATTCCTCTGCACCCCAATAAAAACAGAAGAGAAATTTATACAGCATGTTTTCAGAAATACTTGACTGACTTATTAAAGTGTTAACCTTGTCATATTTTTAATTCCCAGATTTGTGTATATAAATGAGTAATGACACTCATGCCATAATTTTTTCTTGACATTAAATTTCTAGTTCTAGCTTCTTAATACTGATTAGAAAGTAATAATAATAATAGTGGTTACCGTTGATTTGGTAGTTATTATGTACCAGGAACCTGACATATTTTCTTATTTAATTCTTCTGACAACCTTATCAAGGTAGCTACTATTATTCTTATTTCACAGGGAGGTTAAGTAACTTGCTCAAGGTCACACCTAATCGATGGCGACCTAGGATTTGAAGCCAGATATGCTTTTAATGCTTTGAAACTACTGCTTATAATGCCTTTAAGTGTTATATTCTATCCTTTTCTTAATGATTTAGTAATAAATCAAGGCCATCTCCACAGTCTTTGTGCATAGTAATTGAACCAGTACTTTGTACTATGCTAAGAATCTTAAAAGTAGTTTAAAATAAAACAGGAAAGTTCAGGAAAGGGCCAGAATTCATCTTCTGGGAAGCAGCAAGGCTTGCCAAGGGACTCACTTGATGCAGTTTAAGCATCTTACAGTTGATTTTTATTAGCATTCATACCTGTATAGAAAGCACCAGGTATATTTTATAATTAAGAAGGAAGCCCGGGCTTCCCTGGTGGCGCAGTGGTTGAGAGGCCACCTGCCGATGCAGGGGACACGGGTTCGTGCCCCGGTCCGGGAAGATCCCACATGCCGCAGAGCGGCTGGGCCCGTGAGCCATGGCCGCTGAGCCTGCGAGTCCGGAGCCTGTGCTCCCCAACGGGAGAGGCCGCAACAGTGAGAGGCCCGAGTACCGCAAAAAAAAAAAAAAAAAAAAAAAAAAGAAGGAAGCCCTTGTTGGGTGTCTTTGAAGTCCTAACCTCTGACCAGCCAGAGGTACCCTTTCTGGAAAAGCATCTGTGTGGGTCACTCTGTACAGAGGATTTGGAAGCAAACCAGCATTTAGAATGTGAGCTCCAGGAGAGCAGGGAGCTCTCTTTTGTTCACTGCAGTGTCCACAGCACTTAGAAGAGTGAAGGACACACCACAGGGGTCATTAAATCTGGATGGAATGAGTGAACTCTATGCTAGCCCTTCTTTTTGGTACTTCATGGACATCTTTTGAACAATCCTGTGAATTGGATCCTGTTTTTCCTCCTTTGTCTGAAAAGAAATACATGCAAGAGATACATGCAGGTCTGTTCTCAAACCCAAATCTGTCCAACTTTATAAAGGCCACTGTTTCTCCCACTTGTTCTATCTACATAAGCCTGTGATAGAAATTGGTACAGTTTTATTCTGGAAATATCCGTTTTCTTCCTTGTCATTAGTTGCATGTTGTATTTAAGGACCTGGGTTTGGGTTGTGTAGCATCCTATTTTGGAACTTTGAAGATACTTGAAGACGAAGTTCTAGATGAAGTTCAAAAATCTTATCCTAAAAAAAGTCCCTGTTTATTTAGTTACTCAGGGTTCGCTGAGCCAGCAGTCAGAAATCTCATCCCTCCCATTCTACAACTTACCCCAAATGACTCTGAACCCAATATATGTAATACTTAAGCCATGAAGTCTTCAATTATTTAAAAAGAAGAAATTTGACTGTTGAACAGGGGATCTCAAAAGATCTTCTCCGAAACTCTGATTTTAAAGTCACTTTAGAGTGTGAAAAGAGGGCTTCCCTGGTGTTGCAGTGGTTAAGAACCCACCTGCCAGTTCAGGGGACATGGGTTCGAGCCCTGGTCCGGGAAGATCCCATATGCCGTGGAGCAACTAAGCCCGTGCACCACAACTACTGAGCCTGAACTCTAGAGCCCACAAGCCACAATTACTGAAGCCTGCACACCTAGAGCCTGTGCTTCACAGCAAGAGAAGCCACTGCAATGAGAAGCCCTCACACCGCAACAAAGACCCAACGTGACCAAAAATAAATAATAAGTTAATTAATTAATTTTAAAAAATAAAATGTGAAGAGATTTTTTTCCAACATCCGCCTTTCCCACCTTCTTTATTAAAAATTTTTATTAGATACTGAGCTGATACAAAAGTTATTTTATAAAATACGTGCAGGGCTTAAGGAACAGCAGTACTGTACCCATGTGTCTACCATCTCATGTGAGAAAGAGAACCTGGCCTTACAAGCCCCAAGGGGCCCCTCCCACACCCAGCTCTGGGAAAGGGGCGACGCTGTTCTGAATCTAATGTTTATTCTCATGTGTTTTAAACTGTTTTTGCCACATAGCCTTGTCCCCTTGAGCAATAAGTTAGTTCTGCATTTTTTGCTTTATTAAATCATCCCTGTGTCTGTTATTTTATTTTCTTTTTGCTGTTTTGTACACTGTTCAATATTCCTGAGTGTCAGTCCCTGGTGTGTGTTGCTGGATTTCATTGTTTTCACCACTGTATAATCTTCCACTCCATGACTGACTGCTGCTGAGAACTTCTGGTGCACATGTGTAGGAAAGAGGGCAGTACTGCCTCGGCTTTTCTAGAAGGTGCTAAATGATTCCCAGAGTGGTGGTATACCACAGTTTTTGAGAGTATGCTACATTTTAAAGATTCTTTAATATGTTTTCTCTTCCTGTTTATTTTCTATAGTTTTTCTACTGTAAAAAAAAAAAAAATCATGTTAACTATAGAAAAGCTTTCAGAAAATGAAAAAAAAGGAGAGAAAAAACATTGTTCATAATCCCACCAGCCAAAAACAGCTTCTGTTAATATTCTTATGTATTTTCCCAGGATTTTTTCCTTTGGTTGGTTGGTGGTTTACTGTTGTCTTATTGCTGACGTTGTAAACTAATGGTTAGCGTACATTTTACTTATATTTGGAATTTGCTTTTATTCATTTAATATCACTAAATTCTTTTTTCCATATTATATAATCCTAGTACACATAATGTTTAATGGCCAGATGTTCTGTGAGAGTGATATACCATAACTAAATTACTTTTTGCCTACTTTTGAACGATTTATTTTGAGATCAAATTTTTTAATAATTTTTTTTCCTGCATTCCAGGAGTATTTCTTTGGCAATATTCAACATTAAGTTGAATTGTAATTATTTAATTCTGTGTTCTCAGATGTTCTCATCACTTACAACCAAGGCTTTTCATTTGTACTTCTCTTCCTGTGCTGTTCAAAATGTCTAAGGAGGGCTTCCCTGGTGGCTCAGTGGTTGAGAGTCCGCCTGCCGATGCAGGGGACGCGGGTTCGTGCCCCAGTCCGGGAAGATCCCACATGCCATGGAGTGGCTGGGCCCGTGAGCCATGGCTGCTGAGCCTGCGCGTCCAGAGCCTGTGCTGCGCAACGGGAGAGGCCACAACAGTGAGAGGCCCGCGTACCGCAAAAAAAAAAAAGAAAAAATGTCTAAGGAGTCTTTTTCCTTTCTTTGGTCCTTCAAATTAAGTAGTTTAACAATAAGAAAGTAATTTGTAATGGATTTATTTTTACCCATGTGGGTTATTAGTTTGTTTATAATTTGAGCATTTAAGATTCCCCATCCTTAAGGTGTAGACGTTATTGGTAGGGATACAGTATGGCAGAACACTTATGCAGGAGTGTTTGGTCATATCTAGCAAAATCCTGTGTACGTTTATTTTGACCCAGAAGTCCCACTTCTGTGCGTCTGTCCCAGAGCTACAGTGGCCAAAGTATGAAATGACATGTGTACAAGGCTATTCATTGAAGCACTGTTTATAACTGCAAAAGAAGGAAACAGTCCAAATGTCCACCACTAGGTGACTGATTGGATTATCTCATCTCTGTGCACAGAGGAATACTATACAGCCATAAAAAGGAACAAGAAAGCTTTATTACTAGGGAGCTATCTCTAGGATATGGCCAGATGAAAAAAGCAAAGGACAGAGCATGTATGTAGCATGCTGCATTTTGTATGTTCATAAATGAATATGAATTAATAATATGTATTTTATACTTTCAAAAAGAAACAATGGAAAAAATAAATCATTAATAAAAATGGTTACATATAAGAGGGAATAGGGAGGAAGCAGACCCTCTCTGAACATGCTTTGTTTTGTAAGTTTGACTTGGAAATAAATGTTATATATAGTTTTCTATACTTAAAAGTTAAAAAGAGCATATTTTACAAATCCGAACCAAGTTTTTTTTTTTTACATCTTTATTGGAGTATAATTGCTTTACAATGGTGTGTTAGTTTCTGCTTTATAACAAAGTGAATCAGTTGTACATATACATATGTTCCCATATCTCTTCCCTCTTGCGTCTCCTTCCATCTCACCCTCCCTATCCCACC